GGAGCACAATATGAGTAACTAAGAAAAAGGAGTGGCCATACTCCCTAATGATTAGTCAGCACTAAATTATAAAACAACTATCGGATTTGAATACAATGTAATGCGGTCCTCGTGGGGAAGAAACCAATTCAATTTACAACGGACCGTTCTGCCTATATATAGGGTATTATATGCTCGTACTAAAATTAAATTCAGAATGAAGTAATTCTAAAAAAAAATCACTTAACTATTCTTACTTCTCTTTCCTGATTTACTAAATTACTACAGTCGTAAACCAATGACTTCCTGTCCTTCAGTATCCTTTAACAAAACCTCACTTATTCCAGTTGAACAAATCCGTTACCTAGGACTCCACCTGGACAAACGTCTAACTTGGAATCCTCATACCAGACTGAAACGACAGGAAACAGCTCGACGTTTCCGACTACTTCAACACTTACTAGACAAACGATCTAACCTTCCAATTAATTATAAAAGACTCATTTACATGACTATAATAAGGCCTATTTGGACTTACGGAGTTGAGCTATGGGGCTCCACCAAACCTTCAAATTCCTCTCGTATCCAACCTTTACAATCCAAAATCCTTCGTAAAATCCTCAATGCTCCTTACTTTGTTACAAATAAAATCATCCATAATGACCTTAATGTTCCTTATGTATTAGATTCGGTCCAATCCAGATATCTGTCCTTCCATAATAAACTTCATAACCATCCCAACAATCTTGTTTCTAACCTTGCTTCCTATTCAATTCCTGATAACCCTCCGAGGCGTCTGAAAAGAAGATGGCCACGTGATCTCCTAATATAGACATATTATTAGAGTGCTACCAATGGGTGGTTTCTCAACATGTGTTTTATGTCATTATATCCATGTGCGAATTTACTAGATGTATTTTTTGTATACAGTTATAAATATCATATAAATAAATAAAATAAAACAAATTTACTACTAGATGCCCTATAGTACCATATTAAATGTAAAAAATCATATTTTCATTTTCGTTCGTTTACCATAACGGCCATTATGTGGTAAAAGGTGGAAGCTAAATGGCAACCGGCAGAAAGGAAACAGTGTTTTAAGGAGGATATCATTTTTACTAATTTATAGTTTAGATGTGTACATGTTTTATTAACGAATAATCATAGTCGAACGTTTACATTGTGCAGACTTCAACATGGTGCCGACGATATCTGAAACAATGCTCAAGTGTGTAGCGAGAACGGATAAAATAAAAATATTATTACTAATAATTATATTTAAAATGTTTGTATCATTACCGTAGCTGCCAGAGTAGTTTGGTAACTGAATAAATCGGACCACCTCTTAAACTAAAATTATTGTTTTGAACAATTGTATTTAAGATAACATTGAAATTCGTGAAATGGAATACTGTATTTATTTAGAAAAGAATATTTTAACTTTCCCATCGATGTATAAAATATTTAATTACAATTAATAAAGTTATTCAGGAGATTAAATAAATTATTTACTGCACACACTTATTTTTTACTAATTAAAAAACTACAGTGTTTGCTTAAGACCATATGTAATAAGTGAAAATATCAGCAAGGATGTTAAAAATATGAAATATAATTTTTTTTGTATATATTCACTAATTGTAAGTAATAATATATACATTATATACCTACAATTATAATTGTGTATAAACTATTGTTTATAAACTAGTGTTCTCAAAGTGGGGAAGACTGGGTTAAGGTTGTGACAGTCGTCAGATAGTGAAACTATGAAGTGATGAAAGGGATGTTGTATCTGTCGGAACGCATTTAATAGTATTGATTAACACTAGTAGAGGTCTTCATTTTTTTTTTTTTTTTTTTTAACAGACATAAATAACTATTTCTGTTCTATTATTTAAATAATTGTTGTTACATATATATACAGCAGGGGTGCTCAGAAGGAGGTTTGATGACGTGGCAAGTTGCGCTATCAAAATTTTTGAGGGGGTCATATTTCGGGAAGGTTATTAATTTTCAAAATGAAAATTTTCATTCTAAGGGACAAGGAGAAAACATGGAAGTCTAATTGTATATAATCTCCGATTTTTCTAATTCTACATTTGTTTGCTCTGTTTTTAAATAAAGGCGAGCAATAAAATATCTTGGGAGGAGAGAAGATAGGTTCTTGCGCCAGTGATCTAGCGGGAGATGGGCACCTCTGGTGTACAGATAGAGTAATGAATGTTTTTCCTCGTTAAAACTTAATTATTGGTTGTTAATTAACAGTAACTAACGTACACACATAATTTTATATTGTCGTCGCGACTTACGGATGGGTACAGTTGCGAGATATTTTTTGGATAAGGTTGTGACACAGGTAATTGTTTTTTTTTGCTTTTAGACACGCAAAAAACGCTCTAGGAAGAACGATAGTTTATTCTTACACAAATGCTTATGCCATATTAGTTATAAGCGATCAAATCGTTCTATCATGCTATTTAATAAAATAAAAGGAACTATTTTTTTTAACCTGACACTGCTGATCCTAAGCACTGTCGCGACCGTATTTGGGGTGGGGTCGGTTTTGACACTTTCTTAATACATAGGCAAGTGTACTCAATAAACAAAAACTTTCTTCTATCTAATTGGTACACTAACAAAATAAAGGAGAATTAAACGAAAACTATCTCCCATATTAACATTGATAATATATACAATTATAATTATGCATAAGTTAATCAAGATATCGTTATGAATAGTTTTTTTCTTTTTTCCTTCCAGACATTCTAACTCGACATAAAATAGAATTTTGAATCATGAATCAAGAAATGTAGAAAATTTCTCTTGCTTAAATTATACAGATCAGAATTTGACTTTTTGAGATATTTTAATCCAAATTTTCCCAAAAAATCATTTCTATGATCCATGATATAGTTGACATAGTTAAATTTTTAAACTTTAATGACGATTAAATCAACTTCGCACAAGAACTAAAAGATTAAGCCGAGGCTAATATTTAAATGAGAACAGGATAGTTTGAATACAGATGATCCAAAAATGATCTAGCTTTGGTAGTTAAGAAAACTTTTAACCTGATTTTATAGCTCTATATACATATATAGATATTATATATTCAGTATCTTTTTGCATATAAATCAGACTACGTGAGCTTCCGTTGTCCTGTTGGTCATTTCGAAGGAGTACAACCAGAATATTTTATAATCATTTCGACTTTATGTGTTTTTCAAGGAATCACGGCTTTAGTAGAGATTGAGTTTGTGATACGGACCACGTCTGTCAAAATTGAAACAATAGGTGCAATTTCATGTGATGTCGTCATCACCTTAATGAAAAAAACGTCTGCTAAGTAAGGCCAGTATATCTTCCACACCATTTTCGTTGACTGAATGATATCTATATTTCAAAATATATAATATTTCGTAGGAGTAAAAAATCTTCGGGAGAAGCCATTTTCGGAAATACAGTAATTCCTAATCATTCGCGGGTTTGATATCCCCCCCCCCCGATCAATGCCTTCTACATTTCACAGCCATTATATTATTAACAGTTATTTAAATTAATTTTAATTATTAAATAAATGGATTCAAATGAAAATGGTACTAAAAAATGTCTGAACTATTCTCCAAATTTCCTCCAAGTCTGGATCAAATTGAACGAGCCGTTTTCATACTATAGGCCTGTCAAAAAAATACTAAATCAAATAATAATTTACTAAACAGAAGTATTTTTTTTTTTTAGATTAGTGGATATAATTTGATAAAATCTATACTTACTCAATTATCTCTTAACCAATGCCTAACTGCCCTCCAAATTTGAGCCAAATCGAACAAGCTGTTAAAATTGATATGGGACCATCTAAGCCCTAATCCACACATTCCCTGAAAACTGAATTAACGGTAGCCCGCAGGTGATATGCCCATTACATCGATTTGACTACAGACCGACAGACAATGATTTCATCAAATTTGATCCTTGATGTCTGAAACGTAAAAAACGAATGGTGCTCGATTCTGAGCACAAGATTTTTTTAACCTCTCGTACGAATACAATGATTCTCAACCTTCGGTAGTGAGGAAGCAAAAAGGTGAGATTGAAGACATTTTAATTTAAACATTAATGACTTTACTAATAAGTATGTATTAAGTAACGTATGTCAAAACATTCCAACAGTTTTGGTGCATACATGTGTTCCACAACTAATTAGTAGGATAATAGGCTCCAGCTTTCTGGACTGGACCAAGACTCGATTCTTTAGAGCTCGGTAGTAAAAGGCTCGAGTTGCGGATGGAAACTTTTTCCTATATATTTATGCATTATACTTCAAAAAAATATTCACATTGTTAATATCAACAGAATATAATGTATAATGTAAATATATTTATTTAGGAATATGTACAATAATTTAATTATTTTTAAAGTTAAAGTCATCAAGATTAGAACTCTATGAGCTTTCAACTCCAGCTTTGGAGGTTCGAGGTTTAAAGGCTCTAGAGCCAAGCCTTCAAGATTCGAGCCTCTACGACTCGAGTCGAAGCTCGAGGCTTTTTTTTTTTACAACACTTACATCATCCAGGATGATCCATTCAACAAATTTATCAAGCCAATCTACCAAGTTAGCATCATTGAACTTGTTTTGAACAAGATCTTCACAAATGACCTCTAGTTCAGGCAATTAATTAAATCACGACATTAAATAGCTGCACCTCTGAATTAAAACTAAACGGAAGCTGAAGAATCGATTCCTACAAAATCTCAGGAATATTTATTTTAAGGGGTCGTCAATCCAAATGATATTTTAATCATAAGAAAGAAAGCACATCAGTTGTGACAGACCTTTCCACTAAATATGTAGTTTCGCCCTAAGGAATGAGAGGTTCTTCTACAGACAGTTCGAAGGTCCTTCAGACCCGCTGACCGCCCCATAAGGTTCAGCCGGGGAGGATAGTAACTGTTATTTGCATTGGAGCGGTACAGATTCCGGAGGGCGTTGGGAAGAGCGACGGCCACGTAGAAAGGCGATGATGACAGCGGGAGGGAGATCACGTCGACACCAGGGCTGGGGTCAAACAGGTCAAAAAGGCAGACCAACGAGATATGAAGATCCTTCGGCCTTTTATTATCCTCCGATCGAAGATGGACGTGAGGTTAGGAGCAACGGTCCATCTTTATCTGCCCCGTCTCCTCCGCCTTGTCTACATGTGATCCCGGCTCTGTCTATCGATAGCGGGTGGATGAAATAATTATTTATTTATGCACCACTTGATCCTAAAGCTTTCACATAAGCAATTATTGTCAGATTCCAAACCGGCTTGTACTATCTTGGCACTAGGAATGCCATCGATGACAATCGCAACAATAATTGGCGTACGCTAGTTAACAAGAATAATAGGATCCAATTGATAATTCGATCTTTACTCTGCAGAATATTAGGAGTTGAAGGAATTAGAGCAAAGAGAAGAACTAATTTTCAAACGTTGAATAGGAATATTAATTTGTAAAATTCATTTTTATATGAAACGGACTATTTGTGACGACTGATAGGAAGATAGAATGGATAAAGTCTTAAATGTGTCCACGAATTTTTCATAGCCAAGAAAGAAGACGAATGTAATAAGTAAACATGGAGAGACTTGGGATTGATATATATATATCCTATATATATATATATATATATATATATATATATATATATAGAGAGAGAGAGAGAGAGGATATATATATATATATATATATATATATGCACGGCATCTAGTGAAAGGGGACCAAATCACAGAATAACTAAAAATGAGTTAAAGGTGAATAAGAACCATTTATTGGTTTAGGTATCTAATGGGAAATCGAAATTGAAAAAATAATTTTTTAAACTTTTATTGAGTATTAATACAGTCTGCCACACTAAAGGGCATTGGTACTAGTGCTATATTATTCATTCACAAAATATGTACATAAGAAAGGAAAAAAAAAAAAAATATATATATATATATATAAATAAAAAGATAAAGTAATATACAAGATAATTAAAACAACGAAAAAATAATAGAAGCAAAATGCAATATTTGTATACAAATAATAATGATAAACTTAATTTTTGATCAACTTATTAAAATAAAAGCAATCATTAAGGGTAAATTGTGTTTCTGAGAAAAAATGTATTTCTTTTTAAGCTTATAGGTCTTCTTCCTTACTTTTAAATAACAAGGAAACTTTGGTATTCGTGCAACAGATTAAAAACATTTCTGTGCCTGAAATAAAAAAAATTCTCTCACTTAATTTGGCTGAAACGCTCCAACTCAAAAACCGCTCTTTCGATTCGGTTCAAATCTGGATAAACGTTAAACGTTGGAATGAAAAAACTATGCTGTATCAAGTTTATGAAACTCCATCCTTAACTTACTTTTATATATTCCCAAATATATTTTCAGAGTATCTATCTCAAAATCCGTAGGTTTGAGTTGGCTTTAAAGGGAAGTTAGGAATCGGTAGAAAAATGATGGAGTATCAATTTCAACAAATTTTAATAAGCAATTAAAATTAACTTACCTAATTAGGAATAGAATGGCTGTGAAATTTAGTTGACAGTGTGAATATATGGAGAGGGAGTTTATATTTATGCCATAGTTTTTTGCAGTTGTAATATTTTGATATATATTCGAATACGTAATTTGAATTATAATGTGTTGATCGTAAGACGGATTTTCAATGAAATTGAGTGGTGCATTTTCATTTCATGGTTCAAATTTGATTGTGTCACATTCCGTCTAGCTTTTTGGTTACGGGAAACGTTTTGTCTTGATTAGACTATACTTCAACAATAGCTTCTTCTATTATTTTATTTTTACAAACAAGAAATCATAGATATTGAAATATATGTTATTACGTAACCACTAGATTGGTGAGAAAACTATACACACCAAATGTAAAAAATATTTTCTGAAGGTCATTAACATTAACTAGAGCTTTTCTCAAAACATGTAAAGTCTAGATTGGTTACATCTATTAAAAGTTGTCCACATAAACAGAGTAATAAGGAGTGGGCGCGGAAAATTTAGGTTAGTAATATATTATCACTATTGTCTTTGTGGATATTACTTGTATAAAATATCTAATAAATAAAATGTTATCGTGCTATCTGAATAGACGAGAACGCGGTGACAACTAATATCTGTGATAACACTCACTGAAGAACAGGAGCCGGATGATGCTTCAAATAAAAGTGTTAGACAAGATCGATCCATAAGTTAAGTATTGGAAGATTCATGTTTTGCTTCAAAGGATTAGCATTAACCCATTATAGCAACAACACTGGCTAACTTGTCTCTTTAATAGTAGCCAGCGATTACCAGGGATTGTCTGTCATTGAATGGATGGGTCCATGTCATTAGGGATCCTGATGGCCGTGAAACCAAAAAAAAAAAAAATGTCCAACGTCATTATTCAAATTGGTTATCGCTTGTTCCAGTTTGCTTAATGTACATCTTAGTGTGTTGTTGATTTTGTTTTCTTCTAATGTGTGCAGGATAATTTCGGTACTGTTATTGTGTACTTATTACTTATTAATAGAAAAAAAAAAGAGACTAAACTGACCTATAACGAAAATTTAAATAACCTTCACCTGGGTATAAACGTCTAGAAATACCCATAGTGTAAATAAACGTCAAAACTCCTAAACTATATAATTAGACATTATACAATTCTTCCACTTACGACATCGCCAATCTTTTAAATAATTCACTTAAGGTTTGTAATTGTAAATATTTTATTTATCTTAACCTATAGTTATCATAATATAATCGGAAGCTTCCAAAAGCAAAGTCTCAGCTCTCTAAAATGAGGTTAACAAGTAAACAGCCGTCAGTTTTTCATAAAATTAGGCGTTATAAGGAAAGAATCAACCAAAATAACATTTATGTAAATATGTTATTATGCATATGCATATGCAACCATTGGCGGATCTACCGGGATGCTTTCGAACTGAAACCTGCACCTAATAGGTATTCGGCAAGAAATCCGATTTATCCCGAAACCGCACATTTTTGGGATATATAGGAGGACAAAAACAACTTTTAAAATATGAGAAATGTAATTTATCATCCTTTTTATAGATAGTTAGTGGCCTAGTAAATGTTCAAATTTCGTTTAAACTCCCACAGTAGAGTACGAAAGAGAGAGGTTTGAGCGAGAGAGACTTCAGTTTCACCAATTGACAAATAGTTCCAGCATTACTTAATTTATAGATTAAATCAGAGCCTTTGTGCGTTATTGCTTAAGACTGCTTTTGATAATTCAGTTAATTATATTTATTTTTCACTGGATTAATTTAGGTTCAACCAGTTTGATGTCGGTTAAACCTGCATGTAAAAATGGCTTAAATCAATTCTTTGAAATAAATAACGCTTATATGGTCGTGAGGTCTATGAGATACAATTTTGTTTTCTTTTTCTAGCATTTTTTACATTCTTTAAAGTAATATATATAGAAATTTGCGCAGCTTTGCGCTAAACACAGATTTTTTAAAAAATGATGTCAGAAAACATAAACTAAAGTTTTGGAATCAAATGTTTTTAATCTTATTAAAACGTTATGAATCATATAATAAAATTTGTACAGGTTAAAATGTCAATATTGCCTTATTTACATAAAAAATAAATGATCTTTGGAAAAGTACTCAAAAAATGATTTTTGTTTTTTTTTAGAAGAAATGCCGAAGTATATTTTCATAGCCGAAGCATATTTTCTAGACCTGATAACAATTACAATATTTCTCAAGGTCTTGACCGAATAATGTTTTTTATAGTGTTGCTTCAATAAACTAATGAGCGGAAAGTAAAGGATATAATATAGTGGATTGCGTCAACAAAATTTTGAGGGAGCACATTTTTACGGGGATATGGATTTTTGAGAAAAAATATTTTCAGACTGTGTAAACAAGGAAAGAAAAGATCTAAGGAAATAAATGGGATATGGGATATTTTAATTTCAGTTAGGGCTTCCTAACATCTAAATAAACAAAATACCTAATAAATACCTAAAATAAACACTCATAATCGCTTGGTTATGAGTGACTTCAGTCAGAGAGTATATTTCCTACGGATGTCACTCCTAGCTGTTATGAATGGCTTACAATATAAACATAAACATAAATAAAACATAAACAGATTTATTTCATCTTTAAATCCTCGGTCCCTCGACAGGGTTACTATCGCCGAAAAGAGATCCCCAGAAGTTATCCTATCTTGGTCCATATCCTGTACTCCGCATCCCATCCTCCGCGGAGACTACACCCACAGACCTCGATACCCGCAGTATTTCACCCCAGCCTTCGCCGATGTGGAGGGATTCTCCCGGTATCATGGCACGGCTACACCGCATGAATAATACATGGCTCATGTTCCCTTTGCCGGCACCTCACATTATGGTTTCGTTACAGTTTACCGTTTCTGCATTTACAGGCAATCTTTCTTCAGCGGATACTGACTGGGAGGTCTGCCAGTTGTACCATTTCCACAGTCAACGGAACTTCAGTTGATTATTTTACACGGCCAAAGGGATAGAAATTGTTGAATCACTAATTACCTGGTATTAAACAAATTGTTGGCTAGATATTTCTGCCTACTTATTATAAATTTTAGTATTTAATATTTATGAGGAGATAATATAATAGTCTGTGATACAGACCTCTTTCTATCAAATTATTTACATCCGCCAAAAACTTTGTAATAGCTTCATTTTAATAATTTGACAAAAACAGATGTCTGTAACACGGACTACAAGTTTAATAATCTAAATCATTTTTTTTTTCTTAATAATATTTACAATTGTATTAAAGAAGTACATTTAGTAAATTTGAACATATGGATATAATGATACTTGTTAACTTACTACCCAATGGTATATCTACTCTAATGATATATCTACACTAGGAAATAACGGGGCCATCTTCTTTTCACACGCCACGGAGGGTTATCAGGAATTGAAGTGGAAGCAAGGTTAGAGAGGGATGGGATGATTCTGAAGTTTATTATGGAAGGATAGGTATCTGGATTGGGCCAGATCTGAAACATAAGAAACATTAAGTTCATTATGGATGGTTTTATTTGTAACAAAGTAGGGAGCATTGAGGATTTTACGAAGGATTTTGGATTGTAAGGATTGGATACGAGAGGAATTCGGTGGTTTAGTGGAGCTCCATAGCTCAACTCCGTAAGTCCAAATAGGCCTTATTATAGTCATGTATATGAGTCTTTTGTAATTAATTGGAAGTTTGGAGGGTTTGTCTAGTAAGTGCGGAACTAATCGGAAACGTCGAGCGGTTTCTTGTCGTTTCAGTCTGGAATGAATGTAAATCATGAAGCCAAAAATAACCATTGATGTTTTTTTTGTGTTAAATTTGTTTTATAACCTTATGAATGTTAACGGTTAATATTTAAAATAAGTAGGGAGAAGTATTTAGCCCACAAATTGATTAATATCCCAGGCGGATCTACTGGAATTGGATGAAGCATTCGGACTAAATCCCCCTTCCCTCTATACATGTCTTATGAAACAAATATTAAAAAATTATCTTGAAAAGTATTATTGTTTGTGTAATTACATTTAAGATAAACGTAACAGTATAGACACTTTAAGAGAAATTTCCAACATTAATGTGAAGCATAGTTAATTAATCATGAAAAACTTAAGGAGTTCTGACAGCATATTTTGTACCAGTAATAGCCACTCAGACTTTTGGGGTAAATAGGTTCTTTCATGAAATTAAAATGGCCCAAAATAGAGGCTTCGCCGTTTAAAACTGTGAATATAGCAAACCACAGATGAATGAATAAGAATTTCAAACTTATCTCCTAAAGAAAAGTAACAAGGAAACCTCCTAGAAAAAAAAAAAAAAAAAAAAACTTGTTTTATGAAAAAATTAACTGGCAACTGCTATTGTGGCTTGATATTATTTGTTGTTCAGGCAGCACCTTCTCAAGTGTTTTAACTGAAAATCTGCTCATATTTACAATCTCTTTTTTATTTTGTATAAAGCTTATAATCTGTTAATGACTTGGAAAACCCTCTATTACTGGTAGTGTTGCCCAAAATCGGTCTTGGTCTTGCAATTTGCCAATTGTTCGTGTAATTACATTTGATATGACTTCCGTGAATCACATAAAGACCATTTCATATATGTAGTTAGTATTTTTCTTTTTTTTTCCAAAGAAGTTATCGGTATATATATAATAATATATGTGTACATATAATGTTTATTTTATCACTCACCAAAAAGAAAATGATTTGATGTAGTTATTCGTGCATCACTAACCTGAAAAAAAAATTATTAATTATTAATTTTTTTTTTTAATCTATTTTTGAATAATAATACAATCAGCCACTGCTGGAGGGCTATAAGTATTAGGGCTAAGAGTTCTCATTCATACAATATATACACATAATAGAAAAATAAATATAAATATAAAAAGTAAATAAATAATACTGATGAATAAAGTAAATAAAAGAAAAAAAAGTAAACAAATAACATAAAATAGAAACTTCTAAACACAATCATACCTATATACAATATATACATTCGCCCAGGAATCTCCGAGCCAGGCTTTTTCTCCCACATGTGGAAGGCAAAGCAAGACTCCAGGAGATCCCAGTACCACTTTTCCAGCCGCATCACTAGTATTAGAAGCCAGTGGAGACTGAAAGAGGGCACTAGAGCCACAGACGCTTAGGACATGAGTGAAGATGCTGGCCATTGCCAGGACTCCAGAAGCATATTTACAAGAGATCTCTGGGCCACTGCCGTTTTAACCTTCGTGGAGGATTGTAGGGATGAAGGGAGCTGGATAGGGATTGAGCTAGAGGATTTGGATGATGGATAAGGTTCTGGTGAAAGTTTGGATGGGATGATGTCGAGGACAAATGGGATGTTAAGGTCATGGTGTAGGGTCTTGTTCGTGACATAATATGGGGCATTGACTATTGTTCTGAGTACTTTGGACTGGAAGGATTGGATGCGTTTGATATTCGAATGTTTAGCAGTTCCCCACAGTTCAAGTCCGTAGGTCCAGATAGGTTTCAGTATGGTCTTGTAGATTAAAAGTTTATTTTCAATCGAAAGATGGGATGTCCTACTTAGTAATTTATACAGCTGGCCATATCACCGGTTAAGTTCTTGTCTTATAAGTCTGGTATGTGGGTTCCAAGTTAGTATTTAATTATTAAATTGATAACTTAAAATAGAACATTATCAAAATCATCGATGTAATATTATTTATTTATAAGTGCAAATTAATTTGCAATAATTTTATGCTAAATTAATTATATATCATTAACTATAATAAAATGTAAAAACAAATAGTGCCACTCGGTTGTATCCGCTTTATATTTGGAATTTACATTTTTAATTCAAATGGTGAATACAAGAAGTGCATCTGATTGGCTGAAGTATATCTTTAATTCATTTAAATAAACCAACGGCCCAATCACTTAAAAAAATAAATAAAGTTTATGTATCTTCAGTTTGATAGCCTCATGCTAATATTATCTTACACGAACATGGTAATATTAAATTGTAACAAAAAAAACTTATAGTACTTTATAGTACCTTAAGCCGATTTCAATATCGTTAAAAATCTTAAAGCCTCAAAGTACCTAATACTAAAATATAAAATGGCATTCTCTGAAATTATAGCGTTCAAATAAAGAAATGTTTCCGCTTTCTTTTTTCCAACTTCACGTTACCACTGACGGTTATGAATTTAATCGATTTTGACAGATTATAATGATCGCAAAAAAAATAAATGAAATTTCGTAATGCGAAAAAATAACTATAATTATTGTTGTGGTGCTTTACAGAAGCATTATTAAGCACATTATAGGCAACAACAAAAACAGATATTATTTATATTTAGATATAATTTATAAATTATAATTGATGTGATATAAATTAGAATCGTACTTCAGCTATTTTAATTTGTACGAATATTATTTTTGATATTCTCATGACCACAAGGAAGTAACTACAAAAGAGCTGAATGAGGTATACCCCTTTAAATTACTCAAATTGAGTAAGTAACGAAATCAGCTACCTTATGTCTGACATATCTTAAACATATTATTATAAAATTTGTAGGTTGTTATGGTTCTCAATGTCCAATTGATGATATAAAAAAAACGTTATTTAAATTTATTAAGAAATAAACTAAGGTTAATAATACTCCAACAAATACATTATACTCATTTTAAATTTAGCCAGAAAAAAATTAATTAATTAATTAATTTAGTTTTTTAATATTTAATCTTAATAACTATTTTCAAAACCTTCCGATTAAGTTTAGTTGTTTTAATTTTTCATTTAGTCCCATTTTAATAACTAACTATTTTGGTAAATCTTTATATGAAAATATAAATATCAGGGGTTTAAAAAAAAAAATTATTTTTATTGAAATTATAATTCAATTGAAATGATACTTTTTTTGGTAAAATTTATGGTATCAGAATTAACGTCATATATAAATAATTAATAATTAATCGAAATATTTTTTGTGTAGATATTATTAGACCAATATTACTAAATTATTATTTTCAATTATATTAGTTTTCATAACAATTCGGAATTAAGTTATTATTTCATTTATTTCTTAAACACAGGGCAGTCTTATGTTTTATCCTCCTTTTTTTTTTTTTTTTTTCGGAATGTGTCAACACGCGACGAAAAGTGATGTAAATTACAATCAGCTGTATTACTTTTGTAATAATTAGTACAAGCATAATTAGCAGTTAAAATGCTGATAAAGAACTATTTTTGAACATTAATGAGTGCGAAAACAGAGCCTTTGTGGAGCTGATAACCTTGTTCTCCTTGGCAAGGCTTATTATCTGACGGTATTGCTCCTCAATCCGCCATCGCTAATGGAACAACATAAATTATCAACCATTATCTTCGAGGCCATCGGAAAATTAATTTATTCTTTTATTTTCCCTAGCGGCTTCAGGATCGAAAAAGGAATTCAATCTAAAATGAGTTTACTGGTCGCTTACAATCCTATTTTCAGACATTCTCTTACAAAGTGTTACTTTTAAACTGTTAAGCATGATATTAGGGTAACAATGCAAATGATTGACAGGCTAGCAGTATTTGACGCCCTAGGAAATAAATCTGTCTAGACGACTTCAAGAACATATTGGAATATCCTAAGGTGTAAGTTAAGATCCTGAAGAGACCTAAGGGGCCAGAAATCAAAATTGTTTTTTTATATATTTATTGGAATTTACAACTGTATTAACTAAAATACAACATACAAATGTGAACTTGTGTAAGTAAAGACATGAAGAGGAACTACTTATTGGTAGCATTCCCATTATAATTCTACACAAGAAGCTCCTGA